CATCCATCCATCCATCCATCTATCTATCTATCTATCTATCTGTCTTTCAGTTGTTCTCGTTGTTCTGTCCATCTATCTAGTTTAATCTTATCTTTTTTATTTAATCTTTGAATTTCAATAAATTTTAATTTTACGTCTTTACATTGAAATTCAAATTTCATATATGCATCTTGTTTGCGACATCAATTTCAATTTAAATTCAGAGGACTATGAACTATAGTGAAAGAGGCCAAGCATAGAATGACGGACAGAAAGAAAGAGAGGGAGTGATAAATGAAGAGGACTGGAGACAGTGTTTCGTGTGAGACAGAATGATAGTTGAGAGACAAGAACAAGAAATGCCTCAGATACAGTGGCGGCAGTCTGAGATTGAGCCCAGGATAAACTGTTATTTCCCAAGAACGGAAAGTACATCAGGCCTCTGAAAGAATCAGAGACAGACACGGAGTTAGAAGGAAGAGCGAGAGATAAAGTGTGATACTCATGATATCTGCAGGTGCTCTCAGTACAGCCACGTGGAGGCAGGCCAGCACACATCCCCACGTGGAGTCTCGCTGTCTTTTTCCAGTCTTTCTCTCTCTCTCGCTCACTTTTTCCTGCAGGCTGAGCCTGAAAAGTAGTGCTCCACAGACCTGCCACAACAGTCTCTGAGTATTTTACAAGCCCAGAATGTAGCTCTCTGATTATGCGGTTGGCAGGTGTGGATGTGGCAGGGAAGATAACAGCCTTCCATGTCTCTACTGACTCTCACTCACAGCCAAAATCAACTGCACTCCCTGCTACTACAATTATGATGATTTAGAAAAACCGTTGACAAACCTGAAGTCTAAAACAAGACCTTATGAAACAAGCCAATTAAATTTGCATGCTATGCAAATGATAGTATTTTTATACTCCATAGCACAAGCTCTAAAGTAATGAGTGACGACTGCATGACGTTTGAGTTTTACTGTCACAAGCAGCAGCTGTTAAAGGCTTAAAGCTGACAGGTTCAACTCAACAGAGAGTCTCCTCAAACAAAATAAAGCTGTAGTCCTGTAATCCTGAATAGAGCCATTATCCATCATATCAAGAACTGCATCTCAGGATCCTAAACTCCCTCAACTTTGCAGAGTTTACACTATAAATATACTGTACAAACTATGAAATGTACATAATCAAATAAAGCATGCTTTGAATGAATGACATCTGCTAAATCGGCTAAAATCATCTTGGTTTGATCAGTACTGATGTGAATAAAACATCTGGGTTGTTTGAGCATTTTAAAGTGATTGTTTTAATTAAAAATTTGTCATTTCACAAAAATCTGGAGCCTTTATACAGACAAGTGAAGGCTGCTCTGAGTGAAGGCAGATTTATTCATGCTCCAAATTATGTGCAAAAGCACAATGCTGCATAAAAGCCGTAATAAAATATGCTGCTTTATTTCAGTGTAAATTAAATGCAGCATCAGAGCTACCTTATTTTAATTCCATAAATTGTACATTTATTATAAGCTCATATTGTTAATTGAATTATTTTTAAGCATCAGTTGCATAACATTACTCCTGTAATTTTAATTCCCATGTATTTATGCAGCATTAAACAGCCTCTTTTCAAGAATTTAAGCCACTTCAGGTGCAGCCTCTATGCCTTTGCAGTTTAAAAAATGCATTAATTTTATAAAATGTGACCTTGTCTGTGAAAACCCAGCTAAAGTCATTTTTGGTGATTTACTGTTTTCTATATAAAATCATCCTTCATAAGGTAAAGAACATTCTGTGAAAATGTAACATTTATATCTTTATTACTGACTGAGTAAGACCATGTCAAATATTGAAATCATAGTAAAAATTCCAAAGTTCATCATAATACTAGGGCGAAACTGTGGCAGTGTATCTGTCACTTGATCCAAACTTCATCCCACATTTATCAGAGACTGCGCCAAAGGTCTGAGACAAATTCTGCCTTTTCAAACATTCAGTTAGTTTGTATACGTTTTCCAGCTTCGGGCTTCTCTATGTCAAAATATTTAGTTTTTGAACATAAAGTTCCTCACATCAATCCTTTTTTTCCAGTTCTACAAAATAACCTCATTCGAGCTCATGCTTCCATTTAAACACACATTCTCGCAAATGTCTACTCACATTAGTTTTGCTGGTGACGGAGAAGGTGGCTCTGCTGGAGAAGCGTGTGGCGGTGGGGCTGGAGGCAGAGCCGGTCAGAGCTGCTACGCTGGGGGCCGCAGACGGTGGAGACTGATGCCCCACGGTGCTGCTGTTGCTCTGTGGTGGTGCCGATCCTTCAGTGAGAAGTGCGCTTCTGTCGCACACCGACCCCGTCAGCATCTCTACCTGTCGGGTCAGGGCCTCTAACTGACCCCTGAGCTGCCGGTTCTCCTGCTGCAGCTGTGCCACGGCCCGGCCCAGAGGTCCGCTCACATTAATGGCCTCTTCTAGTCTCCGCTCGATGCCCAGCTTGAAAGCACTGACGTCCACGTGGATCTCACGCACCGCATCCTGCAATGTGGTTTCATAGCGGGCCAAGGCGGCACACACCGTCTCCCCTTCTGGAGAGCCCTCGGCCACTGATGCCAACGGGCCTGTGTCCATCTCCACTGTGAGTCCAGGTACCTTCCTTTACAGTCCTACACCAAATTGAAATCTGTCTCTGATATTTCCCTCTTGAAATAGTTTACAGTCCCAGATCCATATAGAAATCCAGAGGGATTGACCTGTGAAGACAAACTCAGTCAGATACAAACTTTGTTTAATTATCTAATGAATAAAAAACATCCTTAAACCTCACCCAAAATTGTGAGTGTTTACAGACCTTATGTTTCAGTGTGATTTCTCAGCTGTGAGTGTGTCTGAGTGTGTGAGTTTGGCCCGCCGTGCTGTTTTAAAGTACAGCTCTCACAGTCACGTTAACCTCCTACTACTCCTGCAGCCCGGGGGAGGGAGCAGAGAGAGGGAGGGAACAAGAGAAAAGAGGACGAGAGATAGAGCTCCCCCTCCTTCTTTCCACTGTATTTGTATTAATCTCCACTTTCACAACACAGTGCTCTGTCTCTGCTCTCTCTCACTCTCTGTTCCTCGCTCTTTTTTTTTTCTCCTGACAGATAAAGTCCACTGCTCACATTTCTCCAGCTCAAGCATGTTCCACTGTCTCAGCAGTGCTATATCAGAGAGGAACAGACACGCCTTTAGTTTTTTTTTCTATCTCACTTTCGCTGGGTTCAGAGTGTGGTGGTTGAGGTCAGGATAAAGACTGCACTCTTAAGGTTTAAGTGCCTGTTTACACAGTAAAGCATGACAATATGCGGTTTAAAATGTCCTAACAAGTTTCAAGCGGCAAGCAATTTGCCTGTCCACGCTAAATGTGAAAATACTGCGCGATGTGATGCAATCATATGCAGTCTGTACATATTATTTGAAGATTAATGTACAATTATAAGGTGTGAGAATTTGGGTACCTAATGTGTTGTTGCAGAAATAAAAAGTTGCATCATGTAGACAAAAAGTCTTGTTGCATGAATTTTGGACATTTAGGAAATTTACTTTCGTTAATGTTTCCTAATATGATTGAACTGATTGAATGATTTTTAAAATTCCTATTATATTTTTTATTATTATTTAACATTTAATATTTACTATTTTAAATATGTTATTAAAAAACTAAAATATTACAGTTTTATTATAAAAATAAACATAAAAATAGTTTTATTATTATATTTATAACTAATTTAATATTTATATTTGGGGTCTATTTGTTTGGGGTTGCTGAAATTTTTTTTTATTTTTTTATTTTTTTAACAGATTTTAAAAGAAGTCTCTTATGCTCACCAAGGCTGCATTTATTTGATCAAAATGTATAAAAAAACAGTAATATTGTGAAATATTATTATCATTTAAAATAACTTTCAGATTTCTGTTTGAATATGTTATTTATTCCTGTGATGGTAAAGCTGAATTTTCAGCAGCCATTACTCAGGCTTCAGTGTCACAGGATCCTTCAGAAATCATTCTAATATGCCAATTTGCTGCTCTAGAAACATTTCTTATTATTATCAGTGTTGAAAACAGCTGTCCTGCTTCATATTTTTCGTGGAAACCTTGATAATTGTTTTCAGGATTCTTTGATGAATAAAAAGTTCAATAGCATCTATTCAAAAAAAATGTTTTGTGTGTAACATTAAAAATGTCTCTACTGTCCCGTTTAATCAATGTAAGGCATCCTTGCTGAATAAAAACTAAAATAAACGTTGCCTGCCAAAACATTTTTAGAATCCTGCCTTCTCATTTAAATACAATAGCTAAACTCATTTCAAATGAATAAACAAAGAGGTCATTCCCTGGAGAATCCTCCTCTGTACTTCCTAAGAGTTCAAAGTCTTGTCCTTTCCAAACTGACCTTGCGTCCTGTAATGATCAATCAGTGTATAGACAAAATGGGGGCTGATTGGATTTCAAGAGTTTGCTGTTTAGGGTAAATAGAGGGACATAATGGATCTGGAGGAAGTGGGCTTGTTGTGTTTGCGTCTGTGTTTGTCTTTTGTGGGTGAAGGGATAAGTGTAGAGCTGCAACAGAACCCCGGCAGAGCAAACAGGCCTAATCACATAATGAGGTACAGGGGGGCTCTGGGTTGGACTAACGGCCTGTAGCACAACCACTACAATGAGTCCTGGCCAACGGACTGAAATAACTTTACATTCCAGCCCACTGTTTACTGTAAACACTGTAAGCCGCGGGAGAGCGGAGGTGATTTATAGCTGTACACACTGGGCATGTGCTCATCAACTTTACATAACAGAGCTGTGAGCGAATGCTATACACATGAGATGCCATGCTGAGGAACGGGTTATCAATTAATCTTTCATCAAGACATCTTGATCTAGACAGAGGCTCTTCAAGAGTGAATTTTGCAACATATCTGACTCAAAGTTTGCTGGAATTTCTCTGCAAGCTTCTGACTCGGAGCAGCTGTTTTTTTCATCCCCCACCTCAGCCCTCCAAATATGATTTCCATCTTGCAATGATGTCAGACCTTCACGTCAGGCATGGGTTGTAAATGTCTCTCAGGATCAGCAACAGGCACATGGAGGAATGGCACAATGTTGTGCTTTTCCCTGGCAGTTTGTTATTGTATCTAATGCAACCACCATTTCTTCCCTTTAGCCCTTATCTGATCCTAAGATACATGGTGGTGATTCGGAGAAGTTGAGCAGAATGGATCAGACGCGCTTTTTGGATCGAGAAGGATCAGTGCAAGACCTCACATGCTCATGCAAGATCTGTTCACTTTTATCAGGGAAGGGATCAGTGATAGAGATAACCTAGCACAGGTATTGCAACACTGACATGAGAGAAGGATGTGACCAAGACAAAACTATGACACAACTATAACTTCATCCTAAGGAGTTGCTGAGCCTCAGGAATCTCTGGGTGTTGGGAAATGGCAGCTGACATACAATCCTGATATGACTCACCAAATGACACTGTAAGATTATGTCTGATTTAAACATACTCATGTATAGAGTCATTGTGACAAATTCGTACAAGATTAACAAGTCAGATAAACAATCATCTACTCATGAAAGACACATACTACTGCTTTGTTTTGATTTTTAACACGTCCAGCAATCATGTAATTATGTTGAACTTTCTCCAGGGTTGTTATTTTACAAACAAACACTGCACCACAAGCTATAAAAGGTTTGTGTCGTACTGTGCAGCTTTTCAATTGTTTTCTGTGTAAATATGACAGAATTGGATGTTCAGGTTTTTTTTTTTTCAATTCTGCTAAGCTCATGTTACATTTTTTAACACATGAACGAGTTCTATGTGAACAGCCCCTTAAAGGGATAGTTCACCCAAATAATGAAAATTCTGTAATTAATTACTCACCCTCATGTCGATCCAAACCCATAAGACCTTTGGAAGACAGGTTAAGATATTTTTGATGAAATCCGAGAGCTTTCTGACCCTGCACTGACAGCAACACAACTACCACATTCAAGGCCCAGAAACGTAGTAAGGACATCATTAAAATAGTCCATGTGAAATTAGTGGTTCAACCGTAATTTTATGAAGCTACGAGAATACTTTTTGTGCGCAAAGAAAAGAAAAATAACGACATTATTCAACAGCTCTTCTCTTTCGTGTCAGTCTTTGACACGCGTTCACGATAGTACTGTCTATGGAGGATCAGAAAGCTCTCGGATTTCATCAAAAATATCTTGATTTGTGTTCAAAAGATGAACAAAGGTCTTACGGGTTTGGAACAACATGAAGGGTGAGTTATTAATGACAGAATTTTTGGGTGAACTATCCCTTTAAATCAGCTTAAGGGGCCTTTAACTCAGAATGCATTTTTGTGTCAAAATAGAAATCTTTTGTAACATTATAAATCCGTTTACTGTCACTATTGATAGGATTTACATTTACATTTAATAGGAAAACATTTCTGAATCCTGCATTTAGATTTAAATACAATAGCTGAACTAATTTTAAAAATACCATGCCAATTTAAAGGACTTTCAACAAAGTTTAGTGTTGAAGAACACTAGATGATGGGTAGTGGAATGAAGGTCTAGAGACACGTTTTCGGAACTTCTGTTAACTTTAGTGCAGCATTTTTCATATTCACAAACAAGTTCTGTGTGAACAGCCACTAATATCTTGTTGCAGCCCAACAATATGCCATAAAGTGACAAGCTATAAAATAATGTTAATCAGTTTTCATCTTAACAGCTGTGGCCCACATTGAATGCTCACTGGAATCGAAGAATATATAATCAACAGACATGGATGGAGAGAGACTGAGTGTGAAAGTTTAGAATTAAATAATGTGTGACAAATCCCTCAAGTTCTACAAGGAAAACCATAAAAAAACATGCCATTTGTTGAAGCTACTAACTATTAATAAGCAGCAAATTAGGAGCTTACTGAGGCAAAAGTTATAGTTAATGGTTTGCTAATAGCAAGAATTGGACCTTAAAATAAAGTGTGACCTAAAAATCTTACCAGCAATAATAACAATTATCAGTGGTGCCTTTCCAAAATAACCAGACTGTCCTTATTCGGGAGAATGAGGCATGGTGGGAAACATGCAGTAAACAGTCGAGTTTACCACAAATCATGAATTCTATGTCTAAACTTTAACACAAACTGGTCGAACCACTAAGGCTATAGAGCACATGGTTCCTTAACCACATTCAGCCGTGATGACATAGACTGAAACTTTTCCTGTTCACACAGAGAAAATGTCAAACCATCAGTCTAAAGGCTGAAGTTTCGTCCTCAGCTTGAGCGAACCAATGCCTTGCGAACCCTGTCTGGCTTTCATCTGCAAGATAGCTGTTGACAAACCACCGATCCTTCTAAAAGACAAAAGCCCATCTATTTCACCACGTGTCAGCTGTGGTTTTCCTGAAAACAAGTCTGCGTGGCCATTACATCAGAGTTTCCATGGGAACCCAGAAGTCCAAACACGTCCAAAAGAATAACAGCCAAATCATGATGTCATCGTCGCTTCAAAGTCAATTTAATTAAGCGCACATGGTGCCAAGTGAGAGAGAGGGCGAGTGCAAGAAGCAGACGAGAGAACAATAAAACTGATTTAAAGTTATTTTGTGATATTCTTGGCATTGTCTCGGAGGCATAAGCAGATCGCTTTCTGGCAGGCTGCGCCATGACGTGAGTTATGGTTGAAATGTCACTATAATGCATATCTGAACCAGAGGTGATTGATTTCATGCTCACAAACCATTCACATACTCACACACATCACCGCTCTGCTGTGGCAGTGTGATCGTCCAGCTGAAGAAATGCCCTTTTGCTGGGGAGGACGATGGGGTTGAAGGGTGAAAAGGACAGAGTAGTGGAGGAGGGGGACACATTCCCAAAATCCCAGCCGACCTCCTGAGATGACTGGCTCCGGATAATT